AGAATGAAATCTTATCATTCGCAAGTAAACAGATGGAACTGGAGAACATCGTTCTGAGCGAGGTAAGCCAGGCTCAGAAAACCAAAAATCGTATGTTCTCCGTCATATGCAGACTTTAGATCTAGAGCAAATACAGCAGTGTGGTCAAACTTGGGTCACATGATAAGGGGAGAGCACACACGGGAGGTATGGGGATAGGTAAGAAACCCAAAACATGATAGTATTTGATGTCCCCACTGCAGAGGAACTAATACAGAAACCTTAAAATGGCACAGGTCAATATGAGAAGGGGATCAGGAATTAGTGAAAAGGTTAGTTAGAGATGAATCAACTTGGTGATGTAACACATTTGTACATGGAAGCAATGCTAGGAATCTCTCTTTACAGATATCCTTATCTCAACTAGCAAAAATGCTTTGTCTTTCTTATTATTGCTTATACTTTCTCTTCAACAAAATTAGAGATAAGGGCAGAACAGATTCTGCCTGGAAGCGAGGGGGTAGGGGGGTAGGGGGGAGAAACAGCCCAAACAATGTATGCACATATGAATAAACAAATAAAAAAAGTGTAATAGGAATAGACACCTAAATATACTCACAATTATAGGTTTAGTCCAATCACTAACTCATTTTATTGACTGGCCTGACCTCAGTTACACAAGTTTTTTTTTTTTTTTGTGTGGTATTGGGGTTTAAACTCACAGCTTCACACTTGCTAGGAAGGTGCTCTACTGCTTGAGCCATGCCTCTAGCCCTAGTTATATAAGTTTTAAAAGATTTTCTTTTTTTTTTCATTTTTCTTTTATTATTCATATGTGCATACAAGGCTTGGGTCATTTCTCCCCCCTGCCCCCACCCACTCCCTTACCACCCACTCCGCCCCCTCCCTCTCCCCCCCACCCCCTCGATACCCAGCAGAAACTATTTTGCCCTTATTTCTAATTTTGTTGTAGAGAGAGTATAAGCAATAACAGGAAGGAACAAGGGATTTTGCTGGTTGAGATAAGGATAGCTATACAGGGAGTTGACTCACATTGATTTCCTGTGCGTGGGTGTTACCTTCTAGGTTAATTCTCTAAAAGATTTTCTTATTGTCTTATCTCCCCTCCCCTTCCCTTTTCCCCCATGAAAGGGAACTCAATCAACAATATCTTTACAGCTCCAAGCAAGGTCATCATGCTTCTCTTCTTATCTCATTGACCATGGGAATGAAAGAACATCAGTGAATGAAGGAATGTACAGAACAGTAAAGGCTACAACTCCCAAGACTCACACCAGCACATTGGGATCTAAATAAATTCAAGGCGACCAACTGGCCCAAAGTCACGTGGGCATGTGCATTGGAAGACCCATGCTCTGGGACTTTCCTCTAAAAGCCTATCACTTCTGCTTGGACAAGGACTGTAGTTTTTTGTTTTTTCTTTTGAGACAGCAGGTCTTATAGTCCTTGTTTTGCCTGCCAAAATTAATAAACCTTTGCTTCCTTTCCTGCAAAACCCTTGTTCTCGTTATCTGTAAGTTGGCATTAAATTTAAGGGACCAAATTTTTGTATCAAACTTAGAGCCCATGTGGGGCCCAGAGAAAGGTCCTTACCCTAAACCCCTGGACACAGGGAAAACAAAGGTTTATAGGAAGCCTCCCCCTACCCCCAGAACTCTAGGACAGTTCCGTAGGAGGTGTCAGTGTGCAAGAAGAGGGAGAGACTAAGAGACCATCCTAGCAGCTGCTGGATCCAGACTTTAACTCCAGGGAACCCCCTTTTTTCTTGTTCATGGATCGCAGACTCAAGGCTCCTGCTGCTGGAACAACTTCGGGTACAAAAATATCGGGCCAAAAAAGTCATGACACCTTAGCCAAGCTTGGGTGGGTCCTCTGGTGTACATACTGAGATCCCTTGATTCTACCCATTTGGGGAGATCCCCTTGTAACGTTCTGACCCTGCAATGGCCATTTTTTTTTTTGTGGCACCCTTTAAATAAAACACTGTAAACAAGACTGGGAACCTAAGGGATTCATCCTCATCTTGCAATTGAAGTCATTTTGTCAGAAAACAGTAGACTGGATAAAATTTCATATGTGCAGGCATTTACACAGTTATATAACAAGGATTCTAAACAACCAAAAACTAAGTTGATGGTCAAAGCTTCTGATGAGGAGAGCCATGCCCCAGAAAAAGGATCAAAGAAAATCTAATTAACTTAAGTATAGTAAGTCCCTTTAACCAGGTTATGCTGAAAGTCTGGCTACCCTGCACCTTCCTCCTCTGGCTGCTTTGGAAGTTACAGGCCTGCCTCCTCCTAAAAAAATGAGGGAAGCAGAGAGAGGCATAATATGACTAACCCAGGACCCTTCTGATAATGAGCTGGGTTGAGAGATGGTCTCCCCTTCTAAGAAGGGAAGGGGACACACCTATTGGAGCAGGACAATTTCCTCTGAGACAATATCCAATAAAAAATGTCCAAGGACAGCTGGCTCTTCAACCTCGGACTTATTAAACTAAAACAATTCAAGCCCTACCTATAGGAAAGAGTCTCAAAACATAGCTAAATTATTTATTATTACTTTGCTACCTACCATCCTACCTGGGAAGATATATAAACTTTGTTAAATATCTTCTTCCAGTCAATGACTGCTGACTTATGATAAACGAGGCAAAAGGTAACCCTCTGTGGTTCCCTTTCCCATCAGATCTGAATACTGGTCTTGGTGGTTGTAAAAGGAGGGAAAGTGATACTGAAGAGCTGGCCTCACAATATTACAGCCTGGCATATAGCATGTGGGCTAGTTTCAACAGGACTGAATAAAAGGGAAAAAAAAACAAACAAGGCAAAAGATAAGGCACAACGCTACTATAATGAGGATTATAACCAGGTCTGCATATCTAATGAGGCCACACAAATAGTAAAACCAATTTGGGACCCTAATGCAGATACAAGAAATGTCAAGATAAATGATTATTAGAGGCACATACTCACAGGACTCCACAGGACAGAGGAGCTCAAATAAGATCCAAGAGTTACAACAAAAGGCTAATGAGAAACCTCTAAATTTTTTAAATGGATTTGTCAAGCTTACAGAAAATATACAGACTCTGACCCAGAGGCCCCTGAAAACCAATGTATGGTTAATATGATTTATTGGACAGAGTACTCCTGACATAAAAAAGTTACAATGGATAAAAGAAACAAAAATAAATCCCTCACAAGTTGTTGACATTGCTTACAAGGCTTATAATGCTAGGGGAGGAACAAGAATCAGAATCAACTCAAGTTCTTTATGTACCCCAAAGAAAGGAGGTTCCCTCCCCCAAAAGATGACAAGGTCCAACCCAAGTTGGGAAAAAAACAATGTGTCTATTACAAAGAAAAAAAAAGACATTAAAAAATGCCCAAAGCTAAAAGCAAAACAAAACAATAATAAAACAAAAACAAAAAATCTAAAACAAATGGTTTTCAGAAGCTCCAATGATTTTTAGGGCCAGAGACTCAGATGATAGATAGTGGGGCCCTGGGCTCCCAGGCACATTGGCAGTTCCCATAGAGATAGCCCCAAATGAGCCCAGGTACAACTGATAGTGGGAAAACAATTAATTGACTTCCTGGTGGATACTGAAGCAAATTATTTGGTTCTAAATTCTAAATTCACACCATTAAGCAATACCACTATTACTATAATGGGGATAACAGGAAAGACCCCAAAACAACTCATACTTCATTCTCTGGATTATAAATTAAAAAAAAAAAAGTCTAAAGCATTGCCATAGTCCTGCATGCCTGTTAACCACCCAAGCTGTTAAAAGTGCCTTGGGTCCAACCCCCAAGGCTAGAGTTGTGATGCTAGACTGTGCCACCTGCTGTTGCCTGCTGTTATTGCTTAAAAAAAAACAAAAAACCTGCTAACAGCCTGGAGTAATTGGAGGAGCTTCTCATGTAACCATGGTTTCTATCCACGGAAGATAGAAGGACCCCAGCCACATAGTTTGTGACAATTTAGGTATGTTAAGAAGTGTGAAGGCACTGATAGGTCTAGGAATGTGGCTGACAGCAGTGGCCCCACACCCCCTCCACAACCTCTATTTTAACAGATGGGCAAAACAAGCAAACACAAATTTAATAACTTCCTGGGCTCTGGGTGCACCCCCAGACCATGCTGGAAGGTGCAGAACTGGGTGGTCCACATACCACTGGATGTCTGATCTGGATAGTACTAGGCTTACCTAGAAAAAATTGCTGGTAAAGTCTCTACATATGCAGTCTCCTTTGGAACAAGATGCAAATCAATGAGTAAAGAAGCACCAAATAAACAGTGGGATGTCGTGGAGAAAACAGCTAGGAAAGGGATGGAGTGTGTTGGGCAGGCCTGGAGGACTGCACTTGCTGAGGGGCCCATTTGTGTAAAGCCCCAAGGGAAACAAGGCCATAAGCAAGCTGGATCCTGAGCAGGTCCTCCTAGCTGCTGGAGAAGGCAATGGCTGAGACCAGCTTAGACAGGGGATGGCACTAACTTGTCCCTGAACTTCTGACTCCTCATTCTTCCTCTCAGCTGTCAGCCTTCTGTGGATGGATAGTAGCCCCAGTTGCTCACAGTGACTTAGAATCTACATGGCCACCAACTCCTTCCAGAGGCCTCTCTGGATCTCCAGCAGGATTTCTGAAGGCCAAGCACCAGTGTTTTTTGTCTTCTTGCCCCCAGATGGAAAGAACTTGCTCCCACTTCCCTAGGACCTTCCCCCTCCCTTCCCTAAACTTAGCACCAGCAAGCAGAAAAACCTCAGTGGGAAGGTAAAGAAATTTCCTTTTCTGTGTGGTGTGAACTGGGAGACCTGAATCTGGCCCACACATCCTCTGAGACCTCATTCAGGCCTTTCAGCCAAGAACTGTGCTCAATGAAGACTGTCTGACCCTTGGAGTTAAGATGCCCCGTGTCTAGAATAAGGTATTACTCTTACAAACAGACAACCTACATCATGTTTGTGCTAAAAGAGAAATAAAGCACCTCACCTGCTTGTTTCTGAGTTCAGGAAGTATGCTAAGTGGCTGGCCCAGAGCACAGGTCCCACATATGTCCCAAACACTGTGAGGAATGCAGCTGGAACTTCCATGTAAGTTTCTAAGCCCACAAAGCCTGCTGAGACATCAATGGTGGCAATGTTGTTGGAGTTACCCTGGAACACAGGAAAATAAGGTTGACTACGACCTCACAGCACACATGGCACCAATCTCCACTATCTTAGCATGAAATACACACAAGGGACAGATAACCACACCAGGGTAAACACATGGTCAGAACAGCCAGAAGCCATGGTCAAAGCCAGCTGCATGGTTACTCCTTCAGGTCACCAGACTGGCCCATGACAAGTCATCTACCTACCTGCTATGTCACTTCAAGCCTAAGTGAGAGAAATGATCTACATACAGATACCTCTACTGAAGAATCACACACATGCCAATCTGCTGACTGACCCCAGTAATATCATGCTTTCCTCAGACCAGTGACAGCTGGCATGGCCATCTCCCCTTGAAGACCTCTGCCTAAGTATGGTTCAGGTGGCCTTGAGAGGCATCACTGCGTGGTCTGGCTGAGGGTGGATGCTAGGGTGGATGCTTGGCTGGAGGCCAAGTACTATCACATAGTGGGTCCTCTGGATGCTGCCATGAGTTAGATGGTGGAAAATGTTCTAGTTGCTGGGGGATTGGTAACTGCTCACTGAGAACTGACTTCTCTAATATTGCTGAGAGTCTGGCTATTTACGGCCCAGCCCTGCCAGGTAAACACAATGTGGGACATGAAGGTTAATGCCATATTGTTCGGCCTATGTGTGAGTGGCAGCATTTTTTTCTTTTATTATTCATATGTGCATACAAGGCTTGGGCCATTTCTCCCCCCTGCCCCCACCCCCTCCCTTACCACCTACTCCGCCCCCTCCCTCTCCCCCCCACCCCCTCAATACCCAGCAGAAACTATTTTGCCCTTATTTCTAATTTTGTTGTAGAGAGAGTATAAGCTATAACAGGAAGGAACAAGGGTTTTTGCTGGTTGAGATAAGGATAGCTATACAGGGAGTTGACTCACATTGATTTCCTGTGCGTGTGTGTTACCTTCTAGGTTAATTCTTTTTTATCTAACCTTTTCTCTAGTTCCTGGTCCCCTTTTCCTATTGGCCTCAGTTGCTTTTCAGGTATCTGCTTTAGTTTCTCTGCTTTAAGGGCAACAAATGCTAGCTAGTTTTTTAGGTGTCTTACCTATCCTCACCCCTCCCTTGTGTGCTCTCGCTTTTATCATGTGCTCAAAGTCCAATCCCATTGTTGTTTGCCCTTGATCTAATGTCCACATATGAGGGAGAACTACACTTTTTCATTCTTCTTCATGGCTGCATAAAATTCCATTGTGTATAGATACCACATTTTCTTAATCCACTTGTCAGTGGTGGGGCATCTTGGCTGTTTCCATAACTTGGCTATTGTGAATAGGTGGCAGCATTTTTGATTGAAGAAAAGGATGTTCTAAGATCCTGCCTGTTTCCTCCTCCAGCCTATGGATTCTGACAATCTGTTGTCTGCACCACACAGATCTATCTTGAACACTGATGATGCTTATGGTCTGACAGCACACAGGAATCTACCAAGCCCAGACAAGGCTCTTCTTGGAACTGTTCATCTGGGTGTTTACCAGCTCTGCAATCTCAATGGCCAATCCCTCATCCCCTGCCCTCTTCTGGCAGGAGTGGTTCCAGTGGCATCTGTGAGGCAGGTGGACATGGTTCTGTGATGCTAGCTCCACACATAGCATTCCTGCACTGTGACCGCTCATGTTTGCTTTAGGTACACCTTGACATGACCCTGAAATGACGGCTGACAGTGTGGTCTGGTCTCCTCACTCTAGATGGGATGCTCTTCCCTGGGGAGACTGCAGAGAGCCCAGAAGAGAGGGATGGAAGGACAGAGGCTCACTTCATTGACTCATCACCCTCACCTATGCTGACACTGCACACTATTACCTTTGCTCTGCAGGGAGGAAACTGAAACACAGACTGGGGACTTAGTGCAAATGGAGGACCATCAACAAGAGCTGGGCACCCACATTCCTGATCCCTATGCTGCTGAGGAAATGCAGTACTGAGTGCAAGACACAGTGGTAGCAAAGCCACAGATCTTCTCAGGAAACCTGACAGAGAAGGGAAAAGGACTCAACCTGAGGCCAGGGAACCTTGGGAGGCCAGAAAGTGGGAAGAAAGAGAAAGGAGGGATTTAGGGACGAGGTTAGATAGCTTAAGGAGGACAGGGGGAGGGTAGCCATGGTCCACTTTGGCCCATCTGCATGAGGCCCAAATCTTTGCTGATTTGGTCTCTGACTGATTCTCAACACCTAGATGTGGATCTCTGCTAAAGGAATGCCAGTGACCACCTTCTGCAGTTAAATGGTGATGTATGTGCATATCACACACTGCCCTGCACTTCTGCACCACTGGAACCTATGCCACATTTGGGAGCAAAGTGAGCTCCAAAATCTGTCTCCTTACCTGGTGCTAAAACTGCTTAGTGGCAGAACCAGGCTCAGCTAGGCTCCTGACCCTGCCACTGCCCAGAAGGGCACCATTTACCATCCTCAGTTTATATAAAGAAAACTAAGGCACAGCAGGCACTTGCCAGGGGTCACATGGTGGGAAGTGCTGGATACCAGCATTCCAGGCTAGTGGTTACCTGCATTCCTAATGATTTCTATGTGTCCCTGGCCTCCACAGATGCTAGGTCTGTGAAGGAATTTGGCTGACTCTCGGGTAGACCATTTGGAAGGGTTGGGGAGAGTCAGGGAACACCACAGCAAGTTGAGCTCAGGACTGGTCTCAGCCTGGTTATGCTATACAAGGACTTACAGACTTTCCTCACTTCACCTACCATTCTTGGGCTTTGAGGTCAGAATGACACACTAGGCAAGCTGTGTACCTGTAGGCTGCTCCATACATAAGGCTAGGGGGTACAGGAAACCAAGAGCAGAAGAGGAGGACAGCGAAAATGCTGATCTGTTGGGACCACAGCTTCATAAGCCTCTGGAACTAGACAGAGGAGAGGGGGTAGCCAGTAAACACAGAGGAGATACAGACAAGATGTCCCATAGCTAGTAGTTATTCAACCAGGGAGTTTGGCTGGGAGGGGATCTGCAGTGAGCTACACCCTCTTTGGGGATGCTGGGAGGAACTGGATCCCTTTAAGGCCTGCCTCCTGTGAGGCAGCCTGACAGGAGAGTTCCTGATGATCTTTTAGGACCTGGGAGACTAATAACCACATGAGACACCAAACAGTCCCCAGTGTAGAGAGCCCTTTACCAGGGGTAAAGGCATGAGGAAGCACACTCATAAAATAAAGCATGTGAAAGACTGAAGTGTTTCCTAATTGCCTATAATAAATCAATCCCTACCTTACCTTCCAAAGCAACAAACCATAGTCTTACACACTCATGCATCCACAGTAAGAGTGTCTTTGTTAAATGACCAACTATACTTTATCTTACAAAAGACACATGAGATTTCAGCATAATTCACCATGTATACTGACAGTTCTTTTACTGAGCAAGTATAATTTTCCAACTTGTAAAATTTTCTCAGGGAAAAATTAAAAGATAATGTGACATAGAAAGTTAATAGTCTGCTACCCATGAATAGTAATGAAAACCTACCTGGAAATAGAAGAATGCTTGACCGAACCAATAATGCATTACAGTGACCTCAGCTGCATCATGTCTCAGGGGCTTCCAGATGAATTTAGTCATTACAGTCTGAATCAAGAGACTAAAAGCTAACACTGGAAGATTATGTGGCCTCAAGAGCAATGCTGCCAGAAGAACTAATCCACTATATATCTCCCACAAACCTACAGTCTTGATTTTGAAGTCTGCAGCAATGACTTGTGATTTAAGCAAGTCTTTGGTGCCCGTGAACAGAATGCCAAGGACAAAGACATAAACAAAACGAGCTTCAATAATACCCCTAAAAAAAAGCAAAACAAGTTAGGTTCATTTGTATCAGCTAGAAAAATTCAAATATACATTTTCCCATTAAAAAATCATGTCTAATTGGGGAATGCCTAAAATGTGCCAGTGTAGCTTAACAAGCTGTGGGGCCCTCCTGCCTCCCAGCTACTGCCATGGAAGGTGTGTCCACCTCTGCACATGTGCCCACAAGGAACATCCTGCAAGGCCAACAGTTGTGTCCTATTGTGCATCTTCCTGATGGGGATGACTTCAAGGAAATCTTGCTTATGTGGTCCAAGGATCACCTGGTTGCAGGATCAGAGCCAAGCCCTTGGAACAAGCCAGGAAAAATCATCTACCTACTTTGTGTACTTAATGTGAAAACCCACTGTGCTAATATAAGACCCAACTTTCAGAAACTTCTCTAGGTTCACAAATGCTAACTATGTAACTAAGCACATTCATAGTCAAGCAGATTTTAAAAAGGACTTGCACATTTGTCAACACTTATGAACAACATGGTCCAAACTGTTCAGTCTGAGCTTTGCTGCTCACAAGTTCTGTTGTTTGGGACAAGTTAATTAATACTGCTGATACTCAGGTTCATTATTTGTGAAAAGAATAGAAGGTGGTATCTATACCTCACAAAATTCTAGGAATTAAATAAGAGAGTGCACATAAAATGCTTACCATACAGTAAATGCTCAGTAAATATTAAATATTTTACAAATTAAGTGCTTTAGCACTTCATTTAAATCTATAAAGTATAACATTTATGATACTATGCCGAAGAATTTCATCTTACAAAACTCATATACATTCTTAATATATAATATTTTAAATAGAATTTCCAAATGAGGTATTTTATATACACTATAAAAGATGGTCTCTTAAAATAACGCTGAGTAAATAAGTTTTAAGTGAAATATCAACATAATAATGTACCTGTACCTGTTTTGAAAAGTGAATTTTCCTGTATCATATTTTCTTAGGTTTATGCATTAAAAAATTCCTCCCTTTAATATGATCAGTTTAATTCAAACAGTGTGGGCTCTATGTGCCACAGTTGGGGCAGTGTGTGCTGGGGCTGAGGAGCTGGGGTCAAATAAAGTAACCCTCACGCCAGGTTGTATCCTAATATGAGAGCTAAGGACAGGCCCACATGGGTTATAAGGCAGAAGCCAGCAAAGTCAAGCCACTGAAGACATTTCAAAGAAGAAAAAGGACTAGGCTCTGTACCAGGAGATGCCTCCAGGGCCACTGGATGGCCACATGAGGAGAGTATCATCAGATACCTCCAAGAAGTCCCCACCCCTAGTCAGTGCTTCTCACACCAGAATCAACCTTCTATGCCAGCCATGCCTGAGCTTCTAAGTGAGAAGAAAAGGAGATGTTGAAGGCAAAGGATCTTAAAACGCTGGATGAATTTAGACTCAAAGAAGATCCAGAGCCAATTGGATCTGGAACCAGATTTGTGGATTCAGAATTGGAGCAAACCTATGGAAATATAGTCATAATGTATTTCGAATGAGGAGTATGGGGTGAGGGATAGAAGCATTTTGCAGAAAGAAGCATGTTGAGAGAAAAGGCATACTATTTTTTGGACACTAACAAAGGACATGTTATAGGAAAAATACGGAAGGCAAGGTATCACAGTCTTGAGATTGATGGTGCCAAATCAGGTGTACAGATCTGGGAGGAAATGAGGAACATACTGCACTTTGGGACTAAACAAATAGCCCCAAATAACATCCAGCCTTGACGTCCGCTCAGTCTCAGATTCCAAAATCAACAATCTTTGAGATGCCACTGAATGTTCCCAGCACCCCCAGTCCCTATTCTCTTCCTGCCCCTTTGGCCATCTGCCTCAGGTGAAGGCTACCACATTACTGCAACCTCAGCCAGGCTCCTGGCACCACCAACTCCCCATTCCCACACCTGTTAGCAGGGTGTTTCCTGGTATGTCCCCAAGCCCCTGGCCATGAAGCATGGTCACAGCCTTTGGCCCTCACTTGGACCTTTCATTTGACTAGAAAAGCAATATATGTTAATTCTAGACATTTGTAAGATAAAAAAATGAAGGAAGGCCACAATCCACCTATGATACTGGATTGTAAATATAATCACCAATATTTGATCTCTTTAGTCTTTCATACTAATATGAAAAATAAAACACATTTGGTAAGTTGGAGTCATACAACATTCTTACAGCCTATTGCTTCTCTGTTCTCTGAAAACTCTGCCTGACAGCTGTGAGATCCCACTACAGAGCTTCAACAAAACTGCAAGTGTTACCCTCTGTTGCTAGACAAATGCATTTTTCTTTATTTTTTCAACTGTAAGTGATGCTTCAGGGAGCAAGTTGTGTCCCAATCCTAGTTGCCCGTTTGTATTCTCAAGATACACTTGAGAAGAGACACAGATACATTTTGCAACCTGCCCTCCAGACAGCTTTGTCTAGTAACCCCCAGAATTCCACCACATCATCACTGAAAGAGAAGAGCAGCCGTCTAGCATAAAGAAACCAGACTCATGATTGGCCCTCCTGGATGGCACAGGGGAAGTTCCTAGCTCTTACAAGAATGCACTGTAAATTATGGGGACACTCTGCTTCCTTTCCCAACGGCTAGGGAGTGTCCACTCATTATAACCATCTTTCTTTCTACAGTCGCACCTCGACTGAGCAAAACCAAGTTCTGGTAATTGCTTGTTGCAGTTAACTTAGATATCAATCCACACCTCATTCATCAATCCTATTATATCCCTCGAGGTTTTACTTATTAATTTAAAAAGTAAATCTCAATGACTTCACTTCCAAGTTATTTGTCTCTCTCCTAAAAGAGTGCTAACAAAATGGTTCATTATGGTTTTCTTAGCTGGGCTATCATAGCTGCTCATGAAATCACTATTCACAATAAAACAAAGCCCAGTGGCCTGCTTTTTTTTTTTGGCATGGAATTTTTTTTAGTACATAAAATACTAAAACAGACCTAAAAGCGAACCCTAATGTCTCCAGCACACTTACTTTGAAATGCCTTTTTTGTCTGATTGCCATGGGAACAGCACATTTCCAATGGCAGCCCTGTAGCAGAAGACACCCAGCAGCCCAAGTGCCAGGGCCACCTTGGACACAGGGGAGCATCCCCTTTGGACCAACATGAAGATCACAAGCAGGGAGACAGCGGCCAGGACTGAGAGCTGCACTTTGTGGTCAGAGCTAAAATGAGATGGAAAATGTCAAAATTACTACCAAATGGAATTGGTGATCAACTTCAAGGGGCTTTCAAAGAACTCTATTAAAAGTAGCTGATCTTACTACAAAGCAAAAAGCAAAAGTTATTGGTTAATTAAATCTAAATAAAGGCTCTTAAAATGTCACAAATAAGACTGTCAATCTCAAGTCTCACTTCTCACTTTAGCACTCATAGACAGGCTGAGAGACTGGGCAGTGAGGTACCAACAGTCCTGTCCCCTGGTACCCTCAATCTGTTTCATCTTCACCTTGGCCTTTGCTGCTCTCTCACACACAGAACAGCTCACTTGGCCCCTCATTAGGCTAGCCTCAAAAAGACGACCATTCAAAGCTGATTTATGGGTTATGGTATATTTTTCCATTTCTTCAGCTCTCAAATATTATCCTACTCTTAATATGAAAAATAGGCCTAAATATGGAAAAAGCAAACTTGGTGTGTGATCATTTAGCCCCAGAGAATTCAGCCAAAGGTTAGGGGCTCATGCTCACCTGGTGAACCAGTGGCCGAAGTCAGGCCGGTGGGCCCCCTGCACACCTGTCTGATTAAGGGACCGCAGCAGCCGGCAGCAGGCCAGCACCAGCCATGGACTTGCCAGCACTGCCCACCGCCTGTGGCCTCCAAGTGCTTTAGCATTCTCTCCGTTGGGCTCAGGGGCATCGTAGCCTGTGTTGTACTGCAGTGTGTGGACAGTGCCCTCACACCCTTGTGCCATGTGGAAGTGATGCTGAGGCTCACAGTTGTCTCCCAGAAAGTAGCTCCTAAAGGTTTCCTGGCTCAGAGCCAGACACAGGGTGTTGACAAGAAAGTACCAGGTCTGGTGCTCCTCTTCCACGAAGCTGCTGGCTCCCAGGCTCAGGACGTGACCCACTGTACCCAGCAGAAGAAGGAAATCCACCTCTGACCACACTGAGGTGGGGTGCACTGCATTCTGTGAGGAGGAAACGCATTGCATGAGGGATAATCTGAAAATTACACATCTCCCTGTATGTGCTGAAGTTCTTGCTCATAGGAAGTAATCCCCTGTAATAGAGACCTGCTGTTCCTTATGCCCAATACCCACTGCCTATTCTGCCCCTTGCTTTGGGGGGTATGGCCCTTCCTCCTGCAGCATAGCCTGGGGAAGTCAAGATGCCCTCACACCAGCCAGAGGCACATGGACAAGGCATACTGGTCAGCTGCCTTCACCTTGGTCTAGAAGTTGCAATTCAGTGGTAGTCTGAAAATGGTTAGGTTTTCAGGGCAGTGATGGAGCCCAAAGCCCTGACCAGCAGCTCCTGGACCAGTCTTTATACTCCTTCTTCCATGCCAGTTCCTTTCTCCATGAATTTTCCAGAACACCATAGTTTTCTCTATAATGGTTACTTCTTTTGAAATGCCAAAGGTGGTATCTTAAATTGTGTTGAAGGCCTAGTCCCCAATTGGTGGTGCTATTGAGAGGTGACTGTATCAATAGGGTGTTAAACTAATCAATGCATTAATCTGCTGATATGTGAATGGGCTAGGAGGTGAGACCTAGTTCAAGGAAGTTGGTCATTAAGGGTGTGCACTTGAAAGGTCTAACTTGTCCCTGCACCCTTCTCCTTCCCCCCTCTTGCTTCCTAGCCATCATAAGGTGAGCAGCTTTCCTCAGCCTACCTCATGCCTTTTCACCATCATGTTTCTGCTTCACCACAGGTCTACCCAATGGAGCCAGCCAACCATGGACTAAAACCTCTAAAACACTGAGCCAAATAAATTCTTTCTCCCTTAAGTTGTTTATCTCAGGTATTTTGTCACAGTGACGAAAAGCTGACTAACTCAAATTACTAACTTTAAGTAGTTCAAGATTAGGAAGCAATTGTTATTTATTTTTCTGATAAATATTTATTGTGTGCAGTGAGGTACCCAGAGGGTATACCATAAACCTAGTTAGGCCCTAGACAAGCAAACATGGACAAAGACAATCCTGGCCCTAGGGACATAGCAAGTCCTAGACCTTGACATACAGCAAATGTGATGAGGAGGGTAGGGGCTGCATGGGGTGGGAGTTGGAGTTACTGTACAGGGTCCCTCAATCTCAGGCTCTGGGCACTGTGGACTCTACTGTAACCACCCATTTCTTCCTCACCCTTCACCACCATCACCCAGCTAATGACCAGCCAGGCTAGGGACCAAAAATTCCAAAGGAAAACATCAACCTTGAAAAGAAAACTGCACTTTGTGAGGCAGAATAGAGGGACAGGAACATTAAGCCTCCTTTGGAGCCTCCTGAGTGTCTACCAGTTGATTGTCCTTCAGCTGCAGCTCAGATACTTTTTCTCACTTAGGTGCCCATGTTTCTTGTCTTCCATGACCAAAAGCTCTACCATCACCCTTGCTTTTCTAACAGAGAACAAAGATGTGACTGGACCACACCAGAATACCAGAGGTAAAGATGCCTAGAGGCCTGGGGAAGGCTGTTAAAGTCCCTATCCTCTGTCTATTTGGTGTATGGTTTTTTCAGGGTACTGCCAGTGCTGCATTGCTGATATATACCAGGTGTTCAACCAACATCTGATTAATAAAAGATTGGCTGACAACAAAAACAGCTCGCACAGAAAGATCACTTCATGTACCCAGGAGCCAACCATACCTTCCTCAGCTGAGTGCCATCCATGACCATCCTGGCAAGAGCAGACACAATCACACAGAGCAGCATGGAAACCAGCACCATCACGGCCCCTGCAGCCAGCCACGGCAGGCTGCAGAGGTAACACGAGCTCTTGGCTGAGGTGCATACAACAACGTGAATGGCCGAAAGAACCAGGAACATCAGATAAAAAAGCAAAGAAAACACAGGAGATGACACAGGAACATCCAGCTCAGCCCTTCTGTGTAGAACCTGTGGAGTGCTCAAGAGGAGCAGGGTGAGGACCTGTAACAAAAAAACACCAGCAGTGTCCACAGATGGCTGGGCTTGGAGAGGTCGCTTGAAATGAGCCCTTCCTGAACTGCTGCTCACATACAGAAAACAGGAAAGAAGACCCAAAGAAAGATTATTTTTATTTCCTGCCAAAAATGCAGGGCTTGATTTATTTTTTTAATCTTATAGCAATGCTGAATGAAGCCACCCAATACACAGTACTTGTATTGTCAAAAGTCAGCACATACAATGGAAGAGTTAAGAAAATGCTGTGTTTAGTAACACTGATTTTATTTTATTTTTTCGAGACAGGGTCATGTTGTGTAGCATAGGCTGGCCTCAAACTCACAGTCTTCCTGCCTCAGCATCCCAAGGGTTGGGATTACAGGTGTGCACCATATCTGGCAGTAACATAGATATCATATGTATTTAAAGCTAACAGGTTTTGATTGAGTTACCACATCAATTTAACACCTAATAACTACATGATTACTTCAGCATCCATACCTCCAAAACCACAACAGTCCCTACTGCCATTGAGTAGATGTCGTACTGGGCCACTTGTGTGCTCAGGGACAGACTCAGGGTCTTCAGTGCACTGAGGTATTGCTTGAGCACCTTGGTCCCCAGGCCAAACAGGACGTCTGAATTGTTTTCCTCCAAGTGCAATCTGACCCAGTTCCCATGCAATCTTTCTGCCATTTTAAACTGCTCAAATCCAGGATCTACCAGGACAAAAAGATTACACAAACATGTCATACATACTTACAATTTCAGAGTATTCGATTATTCTTGGCACATATTTTAGAAATGATACTTAATGCAGACAATCTCTTCCTTTGGGAAAGGAACACGTCAGTAAAACTGTAATAACTGAAGATGTTTGTCCATCTGCTGTCAGTACTGCCAGGGCCTGGGCACTCAGCACATATAATGTGCAGAAATATCTGCCCACTGCTTGGCCAGAACTCCTTTTCTATCTCCTTCTCCCCCTTCACTTTCTCTCTTTCAATTCTTTCTTCTTGTGCAATATAGAAGCAATCCTGAAATTATGGCATTATGCCAACAGGCTCTGATTTCACAGACCTTTCTAATTCTCACAGCGTGTATAGGGAACCTGCTCCACCATGCCCACATCCACCCTACAAGCTGGCCCTTCTGCCCTTGCATTAGCATCCTCCATTCATGTTCTCTTTAGAAAGGCAAAGCATTCCCCAGCCTCTTCCTGCCCACAATGGCCAGTGATGCAGCTAACACAGAATGCCTAGCTTCTGGATGAAATCCAGCCTCAACTCTCAATGGCATGCCTCTAGAGTCGAGGCAGGGACTGACATTCTTTCTTTACAGAGCTGGTCTGTGAGTCTTTGCTAGATCATACTTATGACTAGATAGGTCTTCAAACCAAGATCTTATTTTCTGAGACTCGCAGGTCTTTAAAATGTGGTTCATACTCTAGTAGGAACATGGTGCCTATCAGCAGTTACCCTCACCAGATGGCTCTGCACAGGGATTTTATGAGCACATCCCAGGCCTTCCCCTTTACAACAGCAGAACCCTCACAAGCAATCTAACGCCAAAGTTCAGGGTTCAGTGGTACAATGCCAGTGTGAACTCCAACACTTCAGGCCCACCCCCCATTACTATTGGTAGACATGACTTGGCGAGCACTACTCTAAGCAGTGTACTCACTTCCTCTCTGCAATGACCTATGAGGGTGGAATGAGCATCATGTCTATTCTCTAGGAAGCAACAAAGGCAGAAGTGATTCCTTTTCCCAGGACCAGAGAGTGGGAGAGTCTGAAGTTGGATAATAAGTTCAAAGCTGGCACCCTTATGCTACACACCCCAAAGTAGGGGCACCTGTGTCTACATATCATGGCCTTCACAGAGAGCTGTGTCTGCATCCCACAGCCTCTGTGAGTCACAGAGGACTAGGGCACTTGTGTCTATATCCCACAACCTGTATAGGTGAATCAGAGACCTGTGTCTATACCTACAACCTCTATAAGTGAGACTTGTATCTACTCCACAGCCTGCATATGTGAGCAACAAAGGCCTGTTATAAGTGAGTCACAGAGACATGAGAGCACCTGTGACAACAGGCCATTGCCTGTATAAGTGAGTTATAGAGGCCACCTGTGTCTACACCTCATAACCTGTATAAGTGAGTTACAGAGACCTATGTCTATACCCACAGCTTGTATAGTGAGACACAAAGGCCTTGGCCACCTGTGTCTATACCCCACAATCTCTATAAGTAATTCACAAGGACCTATGTCTATACCTTAAACCCTCTATAAGTGAGTCACAGAGACCTGTGTCTATTCCACAGCCTGCATATGTGAGCAAGAGAGGCCTCTTATAAGTGAGTCACAGAGACATGGGGGCACCTGTGACAACACTCCACAGCCTGTATAAGAGAGTTACAGAGGCCACCTGTGTCTAGACCCCACAACCTATATAAGTGAGTTACAGAGACCTATGTCTATACCCCACAGCTTGTATAGTGAGACACAAAGGCCTTGGCCACTTGTGTCTATACTTCACAATCTCTAAAACTGAGTCACAGAGACCTATGTCTACACACCATACCCTCTATAAATGAGTCACAAAGGCCTGTGTCTATACCCTATAAGGGAGTTAAAGAGACCTGTGTCTATACCCCACAGCCTGTATAACTGAGCAACAGAGGCCTGTGTCTATACTTCACAACCTGTATAAGTGAGTCACAGAGACCTGTGTCTCTACCACATAGCTTGTATAAGTAAGTCACAGATGCCACCTAAGTCTACACTTCCTATATACACAACCTGTATAAGTGAGTCACAGAGGCCTAGGACACCTGTGTCTACACCTCACAATCTCTATAAGTGACTCACAGAGACTTGTGTCTATATCCTACAGCCCATGTAAGTAAGTCACAGAGGCCTGGGCCATCCTTGTCTACACCCCACATCCCCTATAAGTGAGTCACAGAGGACTATGTCTGTATCTTAAACTCTCTATAAGTGAGTCATAGAGATTTAGGACGCCTGTTTATGCATCTAAACAAATACTTCTTGAGTACTTGCTGCATGCCAGGTGTTGTGCCTTGAGCAAGAAACACAATGGTGAGCAAACAGGTACAATTCCTGTTTGCTTGGGAACTGGGGTCAAGTAGCAATCCAAACACAAACACCCATATGCATGGACACATACAATTACAAATTGTGAAGAATGTTATAAAAGGAAAAGTACATGGTATAATGAAAGATTTCTGGTAACGAGAAGGAACTGATTTTAGATTTGGAGTAGGGTAGAGGGAGGACAAGGATGGGTTAACTTAAAGGACACTCAGGAACTAACCAGGTGAAGAACTGGGAAACAGCAATTCAGTTACTGTGAACATCATGTGCAAAGGTCCAGAGGTGAGAAAAAGTCTTTCCCACCATAAGTGAAAGATAGTCAGATGGCGAGGTGTATCAGATTTGGCTGGGTGTTGTAGGATCTGAAGCGATTTATTCCAGAATAGTTACTAACAGCAGACACAGGCCGCCTAGGGGTATAGGACCCCATGAATATTTCCCCATCTCAGCAGGCTTATTTCCTACCCCCTCATTATGGTTCTCAATTTCTCCCTACCCTGACATTTCTGAAATCGGCAAACAACCCCTCTCTTGGGTTTTTTTTGGCAGTACTGGGGTTTGAACCCAGGACATTGTGCTTGCTAGGTAGGTAATCTCCACTTGAGCCCCAGCCACAGCCCCAGCATTCCACTGATTTTTTAAAAAATTTGTTGATTTACTAGATCAGGAGAAAGAACATATATTAACAACAAATATGTAAAAACTACCAAGCTAATAAAAGTTATTTTAAAAAAAACAAAAGCAAATGTAATAGCTGTGCCTGGTCTGGACTGAAGTGTGCACTGAAGCCAGCCCTCACCTCTAACAAAGTCTGTCACCTGGGTTCTGGGCTAAGTGCTGGCTCAGAAAGTCCTCCTGCCCCGTCACATGTGCTCCTAGTCAGTCTCTAGTTTGCAGGGTCTTTCTTCCACATGTGACACTCACAGTGCTTACCCTTCTGGGTTGTATCCCACAACTTCAAGAGGAAAACCTGCTACCTCAGGTAAAATGATGCCTCATACAGGGGGTGCCTCCTGTAGACTCTGATGTGCTTGGGTGCATATGATCAGACCCAGTAGTCAGTTCTCATTTTCAACACAGCTGCTCACTCCCTCCTTACTGAAATTCTTGCTCTTCATGGTTTCCTGGGCCCCTTTCCCCCAGTGCCCTGCCTTGCAAGCTTGCTCCTGTTATGGGGTTGTCCACCTTAGTGAATGGTCTTTAACTTTCAGCTGAAAACTCTGGCATTGTATCTTAGGCTGCAGGTCTTCCTGTGCCTTATATCCCAAAGTACCAGCATATCCTGTTTCACTATCTTCAAATTACATCCAGAATGCTATGCAGGGCCCTCACCACCTCACTTCTCACCAAGCACTGCACTGCCTTCTGCTCAGTCTCCTTTACAGCTTGGGAAAGAACTCTTCCCAAAGGAATCTTTGAAAATGCAGGAGACCCTCCAGTGCCCCCCACTTCACCCAGAACAAAAGTGAAAGCTGCCATCTCTCTGTCATCTCCTGTGTCCTCCCCCAGATACACTGACAGACCCCACTGCAGAGCCTTGTGTCTCCTGACTCTCAGCCTGCACTGCTCCCTCATGGGCATCTGCTCAAAGGTCAGGACTGTCCACAGCCCACCCACCTGCATTCTCCTCTCCTACCCTGCCCATACTTTCCTAAGGTCCCTTATCTCAGTACTTTTTCTGTCTTCCATCTGTCCCACGAGGACAGAGACCTTGTACCACTCAATGCTTTATCTCCAGTGCTTTTAACAGTCCCTAGTTCTTAAATAAGAACTTAGTATTTGTTGAGTACATAAATTTATAGAAGATTTCATTGAGTTAATTAATTCTGTGGGTGTTTCTAATGGTGACAGCTAAGGGTCTAAGAAAACCAGAATAAAATATGCATAATTGAAGAGTGATGACAGCAATGTAGACCCAAGACAAACTACATGGCACAAAATGCATCTGGAAAACACAAGGCTCAATGGAGATGTGCTGTCCTAACAGAAGGTGGAAGGGTTAATCAGCTTACCTTTTTCATACGATGGTACATTCTCTTGCAACAGTTTGCTAAGCTGTACTGTGTTTAAGTGTAAAAATCTCAGTTGTTCTCGCATTGGTTTTCTTTCTACAACTGGAAATAAAAGACTCCCTACACTGTTTTTGGGAATTGGTAAACCAAGTCCTATTGCTAGAGTTGCAGACAGGTCAGTTTGTTGGACATGCTTTGGGTGTCGGATATCACCTAGAAAAACGAAAATATTTTAAGTAACAGACTTCTAGAAGGTAGGAGACAGTAGCCACTCTTATATTTGAGCCTCTATAACTCATATAAGTCAAATTACCCATCTCTTCAAACTATTTGATGTAGATTCACACAGAAACAACATCCTTGCTTTTTGAGTCAATAAATTTACTGAGTGCTGCAATCCCTTAAGTGGTTTATAAGAAACTAAGGTTAGTAACTCAAAATAGTGTGATTGCAGAACAATGTCTAGGATAGAAGCAGCAGGAATTCCAGTAGAGACTGAAGGATAGTCACTTGGTGACATCAATAGTCAACAATGAATAAGGGTGAGGGTAAGACCTTCTGGATTCAGAATGCTCTGACCTCTCCTTTCTATGTGCACACCCAGCACCAATAGAGAAACCTGGCCCAGACCTCTGAGTTTAGCTGGGCAGGTGCAAACATTGACAAGGACAAGCCTGTCAGTAAAATCTGGCCCTCTTACTTACTCCTTGCAAGGAGAATGGGTATGGTGTCAGGACCTGGGATTAGGCTCCCGCTTTACTACTGTCCAGCATGACCTTGGTTGATAGTCAATGTAGTCAAAATTTTTTTATCTGTGAGGAAAACAACTAGACCCCAAGAAGCTGCAAAGCAGGTATACAGCGCTGCTTGGCCACCAGGGAACTCTAATCAGATAGCTCTGATTGGGGCAAGACTCTTGGATACTTAAGTATAAGTCTATGGAGATTTTACTTTAATAGGGTAATTTTGGGTTGTATAGACTCTTTCATTTGGTCAGGTTTATTTTGTCAGCCAACTTCCAATGATGGCCTCTGGGTTATGCTTAGAAAGAACTTTCTACTCCAATGTTACTTGTTTTCTTCCAATACTTCCTTCTACTATTTTCATACATTAAGTGTTTTTGAGCTGAAAAAAACCAAGAGCAAACACAACACAAATCCATCTTTAGTTCATATGAGACTGCTGCATGTTTATCATGGGATAACACAAAAGTGTATCATGTGTGATGTTCTAACTTTACCAAATCTGTGTGCTTGAAGGAAAAAAGTATGGAGGCAAGATGTAAGAAGTAGGTTTTACAGTTGTCAATGTGATCTGGAAGTATCAATACAAGCTCAAGATCATCTTAAAAGATTTTCTTACTCTGTGCAGAAACCTGATGGGTCCAGCATTAATGCACACTTCCAGCTGAGGTAGTGGTCCTCAACTACCACTCAACTTGAGGGACCCAGGCACCCTGGAAAAACTCATTAGGCTCCATGGATAGGAGCCTGGAAGGCAGAAATGCTGTACAGTCAGAGGGCAGAAGAGCCAGTAGAGCCACCAGGGTCTACTCTAAAGGAGTCAGGAGGTAGTATGAAAATGTTCCCACTGGCCAAAGATATGACAATTTGGATATTGAAAAGAATAGTGAATGGAAACTAATCAATATGCTTAAATCCATACCTTCACAGTTACTAAAGAAAGAACAAGCTTAATTGGTCATAGTTGAGGATAATAGTGAACTCACTCATTGACTCGAAACTGGTGATTAAGTGGGAAGAATAATCCATCATTTATCTTGTCTCTCCTATGTCAATGGTACCACTGGAAAACCAAAAAGTATGTGGGAAAATTTTCTTTATAGAATTATTCTGGCTTTTCTGGTTTGAATGTATCTCCCCAAATTCAAATGATGGAAACTTAATCTTTAAAACATCAGTGCTGGGAAGTGGTGCCTTTTGGCAGGTGTCAGCTTATGAGAGAGAGCTACTGCCACCATAAAAGGGCCTGGCAGAAGGAATTTGGTCTTTTTTGCACTTCTGCCTTTTGCCATGTGAGGACACAACAGTTAAAGTACTTTTGAAGCAGGGAGCAGCTCTCACTAGATGCCACCTTGATATTGGATTTTTCCAGCCTGAAGAACTGTGAGAAATAAATTCTTTTCTTTATAAATTACCCAGTCTGTGGGATTCTGTTATAGCAGCACAAATGAATTAAAGCACTGGCTAAGTAACCTAAAAGAATTATAGAATTAAAACACCATTCTTTGCAAAGTCTACTAAATTAATAGACTGAAAGGTCATTAATGGCTGCTAACATCACAATAAAGCAGATGGCCAGACATAATGTCCTTCCTGTTAGAAGCAGCTGTGCCCAGACCAGACCAGATCAAACCAGACCAGAATGAACCCATGCACTCTGAATCTGTTTAAGCCTCTGGGTTAGAGGAGAGTCATAGGATGATAGAAGACATCTCAGCAGAGTGCAGAAAGCAACTAGCAAAACTAGAAAACTGAGGCAGGAGGACCATAAGTTTGAGGCTAGCCTGGGCTTACGTTGCAAGAGCTGATCTCAGTAAATAAATAAATAAATAAACAAACAATCATACCGTGGGAGACTCCACAGGGCAAATAACTGGTTTTCTTCAGCAAGTAAAGTAAAGGAGTGGGAGACCTACGGAGACTTAAGAGATGCACTGACACATCATGATTTATGGATCTTATTTGTATTCTAACTTAAACAAATTAAGACAACTAAAGAGAGATGGACACCAGAAATCTGAACACTATTCGAGAGTGTTAAGGAATTAATGCCACTTTTGAAATGTGGTAATGGTACCCAGATTAGGGGGAGAAGAATGCTTATCCTTCAAATGTCTGATCCCAAATAACAAAGGAGAAGGAAAATGAATATGGGTATAGATGGAATAAGACTGGCCACAATTGGATACTGACTGTTCAAGATGCGTGCTGAACTTGGGGAGTTATTCTATCTGGCTACCTTTGTAGGTTTGAAATTTTTCATAACGAAGAATCTTTTAAAGAGGTTTGGTCTGGAATTTATACTAGCTTAAAGAATGAAGTAGAGATCCAGCATTACTTCTTTCCAAGTTAGCAAGGTATACTAACACCACTTATTGAGTGCCTTGTCTTTTCTTCACTAATCTGAGATGTTGCTATTATTATCAAACCTTCTTTTATGCTGGGGTCTATTCTGGCTTCTTGATTTTGCTTCATGGATGGGTCTGACCAGTTTTTTGTAATGTGCAGGGTAAAGTGGACTTTACTCCACAGGTATTTCAGAAAACTATACTCCCAGTCCTTCTACTTTCTGTCTCCATTTCCACTGGTCCTGCTACATTCCTACCTAATCAATCTTTTAAATATTCAATCAACAAATATATCATCTACTAGGTGCCAGGACCACTGTAGACTTGGTGGACAGAACAACAAATTTATGAAACAGGCCAAGTCCCACCTTCATGAAGTTTATCTCTTAGTAGTGAGAGGTAGGCAACCAATATACCTGCTTTGGCCTTGAGGACGTCCAGGAAGATGAACATTCTCATAACCAGAACCCCTGCCCATGGAGAGGCCCATACCTGTGCTTCTCACCTGGGGTGTGAAGATTCAGAATGGGCAGTAGCAGGTTGAGGGGGATCTAGGATATCACATGATGCATAATCCAAGCTTCATAAAAATCAACAACCACCATTTACAGACTGGAAATTGCCTAAGGGCATACAGCAAATGAAGAAACCTTTATTCAAGAAAGTCGACTAAATCTTGGCAAGAACATCAAGAATATGTGGCATGTGAACCACCACCTCTGCTCTCCTTCCCCTCCCAGTTCCAAGGGACAGAAACTATGGGGAAGGGGGAGCTAGGAATGAAGGCAATACCCCACACCCCAGATTTGGCAGGTATGAGTGCCTGCCTCAGGGGCAGGTGAAGGTATTTCTCCTGTTCCTTGCAGAGCAATCAGCTGGCAACCAGTACAGCTTCTAGCTGGGTGTGATGTAATAGAAGGCTTACAAGGGTTCCCTTGAAGAGTGTGTGTGTGCTTTCTCAGGCTGGAGTAGCACGAGAAGTCCCTACGACATCCTCAAGTCACCAGAGAAATGAACAAGCCCTTGACGGGGAGGGACCAGTGTCCAGAGTTGCCACACTATCTCAATTAAAATGTTTCACTGTCACCAAAAATTATGAGACACACAAAGAACCAAGTATGACAAGTAGGAAAAAAAGCACCTATCTGTGAAAGGACCCAGATTTCAGATTTACATACAAAGACTTTGAAGTAGCATAGCAAATGTGCCAAAGAACTAATAGAACCATGCCTTAAGAAGCAAAGGAAGGTACAAGTGTTTCATCAGAGTATCATCAGATCATCAAAGTATCAAGAGACAGAAACTAACAAGGAAAGAACCAAATGGAAATGCTGGAATTGAAAAATACAACTGAAGTAAAAATTAACTGTGAACTGCCAAAAGGAAGAGTTATAAACTTAAACATTAAAAGAGATCACAGAGCCTGAAAAACAGCAAAAAAAAAATCCCCACATGTGATGAAAAACAATCTACAAATTATAAATGTTTGATGAATGCCAAGATGTATAAACACAAAAAATGCAGACTCACTACAGTGAAAATGTTAAAAAACAAAGAGACAGGAACCCCAATTAGATAATAGTGACTTTTCATCAGAGCCCAGTGGCAGGAGGCAGAATCTGGCAGTCAAAATGCTGAAAGAGGCTGTCAACCAGAAGTCTTTTTTTTTTTCCTGTGGTGGGGGGGTGCCCACTGGGGTTTGAACTCAGGGCTTCATGCTTGCAAAACATGTGCTCTACCACTTGAGCCAAACCTCCAGTCCTACCAGAAGTCCTATATGCAGCAAAACAGTCTTTCAAAAGAGAAGGTGAAATAAAGGCACCTTCAGATTTTAAGAAAACAATTTGTTGCAAACCTGTCTTGCACAAAACACTAAAAGCAGTTCTTCAGGCTGAAAACAAGTGACTCTAGACAAAATGTGAATCTATGAAAAAGTCAAACAGGACCAGGAAAGGTAATTATATAATTCAAAAAGACAGTACAAAAGCACATTTCTACCCTTTCCTTCTCTTAACTGATTTGGAAAGCAATGACATAAAACTACATGTATATAATTATGCTCCGAGCCCAGAACACAGAGAAATGCAACATATTTGACAGTAACAGTTGGAGGTGGTGGCAGAGCTATATGGTGTGACAAAATGACACCAGGTGAAAACACACATCCACACAAAAACTTATACACAGATAATTATTCACAGCAGCTAAGTGGAAGCAACTCAAATGCCCCTCTACCAATGAATGATAAATGATGTTGTGCATCCATACAATGGGATATAACTTGGTAACAAAAAGGAATTAAGGACTAACATGCTACATCTTGGATCTTAAGTGAAGGATGCCAGACACTCAGTTCCATGTGTTATGAGTTCCACCTACATGAAATGTCCAGGACAGGTCTACCTACAGACATAAAAGGCACACTGGCAATTGCCTAGTAAGGTTTCTTTTTGAGGTGATGAAAATGTTCTAAAGTTGGTTGTGATCATGGTTGCCCAGCTCTGCATACCCTAAAGAGTATAGACCTGGCTCATAAAATGGGCATAATGAGAATAAGAATTACAATTATTCTCAAAAAATGTTGTTGGCACAGCATTGTGGGCAGTGGCACACTGACTTTTAAAATATTTATGCTAGAAATAAAACATCAGCACTTTTGTTACACAATATTCCCATAGAAAAGAATGCCAGCTTAGTTGCCACCTTTTCCTCCCCAGACCACAAGCTAGTGGTGTAGGGCAAAGGCTGTGCTTGGCTCCCTGTGTTGATCTAGTGGCACCCAGTGCAGAGCCTGACCTATCACAGGTGCCTAATGAATGCCTTATTTTTTCTTTTCTTTTTATTTTTATGAGGTACCGGGAAATGAATTCAGGGCCTTGTGTTTGCTAGGCAAGAGCTCTACCACTTGAACCATGTCCCCAGATCCGAATGAACGCTTTTTGAGGAGTAGACGATGGGTGAAGGGAGGGGCCTCTCAGATGAGCAAGCTGCACCCTGACCTTGTTTTGGTATAGAGTATGGTGAAATGCAGAGGCAGATGCCAGGCACCATGGCTCAGTGCACACACTCACCAGAAGACACCCAAGAAAGACAGAATTATAAGAGCCAAGGACACATTTTGGTCAGACACCCAAGAGGAAGAAGCTCCACGAAAAGGTAGAAGGAAACAGGTGGAGGCACTTCTTCACTAATACTCCCTTAAGTGGAAGACTCATTCATTAGGCAAATATTTTTTGGCACCTGTCATGCGTTGGGCACCATTTCAGGCTCTTGGCATGTAGCGGCCCTACTCTCCTCTGGCTCAGTGTGGAATGAGAAGAGATGTAACATCAATCCCACAAATAAGTCTATAATGACAAACTGAACTAAACGTAGGGTGCTGTGGAAGAGACAGACTGGTAATGTAATTTAATCTTGGGGTGAATGATGTTACCTGAGACCTTCAGGAGGCTGTAGGGCTTTGGGCAGGGCTCGCTGTCAGAGAATCTTAGGAGGACATGTGAGCCATGGGGAACACAGCTCAAGATGGAGTAGTGGGGCTGGCAGGAAGTCTCTCATGGATTTACCTTAAGTTCACTTACTGTAAGGTTTTAGGTACAGGGAGATGTAATATAAGAAACGTGGGGAGAGAGGGAGAAAGGCAAGAGTGACCAGTAGGGACAACAGTGGCATTTGCTGGCAGGAATAAAAGGAGGAAAAGAGTTTGGGTGCAAAGTTGCCATGCTGGGTCTATCTGTAATTCCAAATGCAGGGTTAAGTAGGCAGCAAGGGTGGACAGGTCAGAGAAAGGAGACAGCTAGAGGGATAAATCTGATGGGTGTGGGCCTATTCACAGAATGTTCAACCACAGAAGCAGACCAGCAGGGAGGATTCACAGTAAAGTGAGAGCCAGGATGAAAACCAGAAAAATGGGAGGCCTCAGGTGCTTTGGAGCCAGCAATATTAACTGCAGGGTCAGGGAGACCAAAGCCAGAAAGTATCCACTGGACTCAGCTGTGCTGCCGAAGTTAATGCCACATCAACTGTGAGCATGCCAGTTGTGTGAAGGCAGAGGTCAGACCCACATAGAAGCAGACAGACCATGATGTGGGAAGCAATGAAAGGATGAGCAGGCCAGTCAGGCACGGGTGAAAGAAAGGGTCATGTCTAACATTGAGGGATAGGGCCTCATCAACCCTGGTTTGTTTGGATCTCAGACTTTTCCTAATAATGCTATTTATGCTTTCTTCAGTTTGTATATGCAGTTCAGATGCCTGTAAGCTATGAGAAATTTTCTTTTAATAGTTCCAGGTACCCAAGCAGTAACATTCCTACAACAAAATTCCAAAGAGTAAGAGTCAGGGTAAGGAATGTAAGCTTCAACTCCTGAATACTCCCCTCCCTCTTAATTTTCATTCTCATATTGTTCAGGATATTTCAAACGTATACAGCTTCTAAAACATGGATTTCAAAAATTAAAATTGGACTAGAGTTTTAAAATGTTAATCATTCCTAATTCTCACCAGGTTTTCTTTCAAATTCGGAGCTGATTAAGATCAGAGGTGTGCTCACTTCCTCTGTGGAAGAGGCCCCGTGGCTCCCTGTCTCAGACATGCCGTGGTCTCCACAGACAACCAGCAAACTGGGTAAGTGAGTCTCTCTCTCCTGGAAGGCAAAGGAGAACTTGTCAGCTGCACTCGGATGGAAGCGCACACATGATCTTGTAAAGGAAACAACTGTAGATCTTAGTTTTACTCTACAAACAAGAGCTTCTTCTCAATACATTATATCTCTTTTCCCATGAGCTTACAGCCAGATCAAAGAGTAAAGTCAAACCACATCATAGGTGAAAAAGAATTGTGTGCAGCTTACAGAGTACAGCAGGGTTGTGTTCATGGTTCTGACAGCAGGCATTTTATTGTTGCCACTTCTAGACTGTGAGATTGGGCATATGACTCTTCCTGCCTTCCTCAATGAAGATAATAAAGGCATCTATTTCACAGGATTGTTTGAGGATAAAACACACAGCAGCACTCAGAAAGAGCTCTGAGGCTGGCATGGAATGTGCGTGTGACTGCTATGCTGAGAGCTCCAGCCACAGGATCTGCTTGACCCCTGCTGCTTCCCCTGGCACACATCTGCACAGACAGTGTCTGCTCTTCCCTCCCTTAAGTCTGCTTACACTGTGAGTGTCTTCCAGGAAGACTAGTCTGAACACGGCCTCTCCTTAAGAACATGAGTGCTGCTTCCTTCTGCCTGGTGTTTTCCTGTGGCACCAATAGCTTTCTGGCATACTTACATTCTTTTTTACTGTTTTTTACTTGCCTCTCCTGGTCAGAACATAAGCTCCATAAGGGGCTGACTGCCCAGCAACAGTGATCTAGAAGGTACCCTGGGCTGCATGCAAGCCTGAGTGAGTCCATGTGGCAACAACTGTGACAGGAATGTGGCCGGCAGACACAACCCCCTCTCAGGCAGTTCTAGTACTTTTAGGAAACATCACTGGCAACACAAAACTCCATCACCATGAAATGTGCCACAGTGAGCCTCACCTTTGAGAGTAGTGAGGTATGAATCTTCATCAGGACACTGTCCATTTCACTGAGCTTCTGTCCAATCAGGGGGCTGTTTGGCCCAGAAATGTGACCGATGTGGTCTAGCCCGAGGTAGTGCAGGATTAACATGTCCCAGTCTCCTCTTTTTAAGACTTTATCCAAATGTCTTGTGACATTATTATCCACCTTTGAATAGGGGAAAAAATACACATAAATAGCTTGCCCAATTTTCTCTGCATCTTCAATCCCCAAGGAAAAAGCAATAATTTAAAATCTAGAGGTTTGTCTTAGGTATCAGGACTCAGGAACTTAAGACAAAAAAAAAGGAAACAAAACAAAAACCCCTATGTCATTAAAAACAAATAAATGAACATTAGCATTAGATTAAGCTTATATATATATTTTTATGTCTTTAGCTATAAAAGGATATATACAGAAAATTTTAATAATTTAAATGAGCAAGGGCTGTTCCGACAATTTTTTCCTCTCTGTAGGATCACTGCTGGGCTTAACTAAAGCTGAATAAATTAGCAAGTTAAACAGGCCCCATGTTGCTATGGGGTAATGAAGGGCAAAGGGCACTAAGACAGAGAAGTACCCAGAGTTTGTTGGGACTGAGGTTTGAATTCAGGGCTTCATACTTGCAAAACAGGCATTCTACCACTTGAGTCAGATTTCCAGTCCATTTACTCTGGTTATTCTGGAGATAGGGTCTTGTGAAATATTTGCCCCAGCTGCTATCAAACCATGATTCTCCTAATCTTAGCCTCTGAAGTAGCTAGGATTTATAGGCATGTGCCACTGGTGCCCACAATCTTTTATGTCACAGAGACATTAGCAGTTGAGCATCTCCAACAAGGCCGGCACCCTGCTCAGCAATGATCCTTTAGCTAGCCCACTTCCCTTTTACTAAAATATCTACTACAAAGAGAAGTGTTTCTGCTCAGTGCCACATACAGCATGGGAAACTTGTCACTACTGAAAAGTCATGTGATGCTAGCCCTGATAAACCTTGGAAAGAGTATCCCTTTAGAAAAGGTATCAGTGTGAGCAGGACTGCAGATATTCACCACACCCTGCAAACTGAGAGCTGAGACCACTGTCCCCAATGACAAGGCAGACACCTGTAGACTCCTGCCTCTGCCCCAAGGGCAACTTTCTTAAGTAACGGTCTAATCTTGCTCTTCCCTTGCCAGAGCCTGCACCCCAGCACAGGCAGATGTCCCTCAGGAATGGGTTCTGCCTGGCTCACTGCCCATCTTCCTAGCTGGATATTGCTCCACCTGCAGATCCCAACAGCTAGAGGATACCAGCAAGTGCATGAGTCCTATTGTGTCAGATGCTAACTCTCCACTTTGCCCACTTGAGCAGCCCCACTCACCCACCAGACCTCATGTCCCCTAGCTCCTCTGCTGTGGAGCCCTTCTTGATCCTTTGTGTCCCAATGGGTGCCCAACTGCTCTGCGTTTTGGGCCCTGTAGACCTTGGCTCACACATGCATCAGGGTCTATGCCTCCAGTTGTAAATGATTACATTTACCTGAAAACTTTTATAATCGCTCTGTACTACTCCATAAATTAATAAATACCACATATAAAACAGCATTGCCTCTTAATAGGAAATGGCAATGCCAGATTCTACCTAGGGTGACATATTTCTTTAAAAAAAAAACAACTGACCTCAGTATAATCTGAAACAAAGAATGAGGTTGTCCCATCATATTCCACAAAATGCTTTGGGAATAACTTAACCCATGTTTCATCTCCATAAAAGATCATTCTCTTCCCAGCAACTTTTGCCTGTCTTATCACATTATCTTCCAGTAGTGCAGGAGAATTAAGGTTCCTGATGATATCGACAAAGCCAGGGAGGCTGCCTGTCATCAATGCCTACAGGAAGAAACATTCATTAGACCACAGATCCAAAAGTGCAGCATGGTAATGATGTAGGTAGGCAAAGAGCTAGGGCATGACCAATGCTGGAGGCTGAGCCAATGTCAGGACAGCAGTTAGGGAAAGGAGGATATGACAAAGATTCTAGACAAAAATAACAAACTCAATAATGAAGACTGAACCATATTAAAAAACATGGCTCAGGCAATCCTTCTGGTGGATAAGATAGTTAAGGAAGAGAAAGGGAGTTAGGCAATAGCAGTTGCCAGAGAAGCTATGGTTTAATGACAGAGTTGGGGCAAATGTGTGGTGTGTTGAAAACATGATCCTATATATTCAGACCATCTATTAAATTCCCACTTAAGATTCAAATCTACTCCATGTGACAAATTCCAACCCCTAGCAATCCAGTAAGTCTAATGTTCACCTCTGAGTGAAAATCAGGAGGGAATCCACTGGTATGCATGACTACCAGAGTCCTCAAAGTGAACTGAATGTTAGTAGGACACCAGCTGCTATACCCAGTGTTGCACTGTGCTTTCTGAGAGAAGCTGGGTGTGACATATATTCATATCTTTCTGATATACAGTTGGGTCAAAAACCTCCCCAATTTTAGCACAGAATTTGTGAGGCCATAGTAACGGATAATGGATCTCCATCATTTGAGTATACAACCACCTTAGAACATTGGCATCCAGGGATTTGTACCATGAAAAGAAATGGGAATCTGGATAACGTCAACAGGTGTACACACTCTGACAAGATGTCTTTAACAACAATACATTTCTTTCTTCCTTTCTTCCCTTTCTTCTCTCTCCTCTCTCTTCTCTCTCTCTCTCTCTCTCTCTCTCTCTCTCTCTCTCTCTCTCTCTCTCTCCCCCCCCACCACTTTTGGGGATCAAATCAAACTCAGGTCTTCACATATGCTAGGTAACTGCTCTACCACTGAGCCTAATCCAAAACCAAATAGAAACAAATAAGAATTAACCAGAGCAGAGCTTGGCAAATTCTCTTCCCCAAGAGCAATAAAAATTGGACAAAACTGTCAAAAGAAACAATCTCAGAACTTAAAAATTCACTAAAATAATACAAATTGAGAAGTGCTTTTTCAAAAAAGTACTGTAGGTGGGTACTGGTGGCTCATGCCTGTAATCCTAGCTTCTCGGGAGGCAGCGATTAGGAGGATCACAGTTTGAAGCCAGCCGGGGCAAATAAATTGCAAGACCCTATCTCAGAAATACCCAACACAAAAAAAGGACTGACACAGTGGCTCAAGTTGGTAGTGCCTGCCTAGTAAGTGTGAAGCCCAGAGTTCAAACCCCAGTACTGCCAAAAAAAGTACCATACCTGTGGTGTTTCCCATCTCCTCCTCTCCTTGCCTGACCTGATCTGGACTCTATGGAAAAACTCCATTTCAAGGGAGGTTGTGAAAACACAACTGAGAAGGCCAACATTACAACTGCTAGAGGCTTCAAAACTAGCTATGGCAAATAAGAGACCAGCCTGGAATTTAAGAAGAGGATTTGGGTTGACTTTTATAAGTGCCCACCTATTTACTGAATCTGAAGACACCAGAGAGGGTCCTGGTTTCCTGCTCCTTCTGGCAGAGCAGGATGCCCTGCATAAACAGCGAGTCCGGACATGCTTGAAAACTATCTGAGCAATGAAGTATGTCCCAACCCACATGAGCCCTGATAGAGGACAGATACCTTACTACTTCATGACCTACTTAAGTACAACCCTGGCTGATCACTAAACTATGCTAAGCCAGAACATCTCAGGAAGAGTGATTTAAAAATAAAAACAAGAATTTATTACAAAAAAATCTAAACAGAGACATTATTTGCTGCATACTCTGGGGGAGATGAACTCTGCAGATTAGTACAGGCAAGTCACTGTACAAAAAAAAAAAATCACAGCAGCAACCACTACCACTCCCAAGGTGGGGGATTAGAATCTGGAATAGAGGCGGGGTTGCCTGGATATATACATTTGTTAAATTCCATCATATTGTGCACACAAAAATGTGTACACTGTATTGTATGAGAATTACCTCAATAAGGTTACTTTTTAAATGTGAGTATCCATCATCTTAAAATTCTACTCTTTAAATGTAAACAGTGACTTCTGATGAACATCTTTTTAAGACTCTGTTCTGTGCTTATACAATCACAAATATACAAAGGTTCACACTTTTTACAAGTACATTTTAATGTATTTGGCAATACATTATACAATTCATTCTGCATCCTACTTGGTTTTCGATTAGTAATATACCATGAACCTCTTTCCCCAAGAAATATCTACTTTATCTTTAAACAGTTTCAAAGTATCCAGTGTATGAATACTCAATAATATATTTCACCAACCCCATCTTAATGGACATTTATTTTGAACAGCTTCTTATGGAAGTGCCATGGCAGAGGAGCTGTGGTGATGAGGCAGGGTTTTCCAAGGAAAAGCACAACAAACCACAAAGGCCCAAGGCAGGAAAGAACAGTACACTTGAGTTCCTAAACTAGGTGTGGCTAGTGTGGTGGGAAGGCATGGGACAGGAATCACAGCTTAGATGAGGATGGGAACAAATAGGAACAAAATCACATAGGACCTTCCAAGCCAGTATTCAAAGGGGGCAAAGGCTAAGCCATAAGAGGGTTTTAAGAACTGCAGCAATGTGGTGTAAGACTGGCCGTGATCTGGGCAGGCGGAAATGAAGGAGATGTGTGTGGTCTAGTCTAGAGACCACAGTGACTGGACCATGGTGCTGGCAGTGGAGATGGTGGTTGGGGCAATTGATACTTATGCCCTCATTTCTTTGGGGAGTAGATGCCATCAATCTTTAAATTTTTACAATGTAATAGACAAAAACTGGCCTTGTGGATTTTTTTTTAGTTTGCTTTTCTTTAATTATTAGTAAGAATCTTCCCGTGTAAATTTCTTTATATTACTTCCCAGTTCCCAGTAGAACGTCTATTCTTGACCTGATCATCTTTACATGACCATGGACTTACCATTTTATTTGTGATGCCTACTGCAAATTTTTTCAGCTCATCACTTGTCAGCTCACTTTTGTTATGATGTCTTCACCAATATAAAAAAATTCCTGCACTCATATAGTCAAATCTGTTCACCTTTCCTTTGTGATTTCCCTCCTTCTTACACTAGTGTGGATTCCCATTGATTAAAAGAAGACAAGGTTGATTTGGTATCCCCATTTCTGAAGCACATGGGAGGCAAATGAAGTATGGCTACAGTCCCAAAAATCTGAGGAAGATCTTAGTCTGTAATCAACCTGGGGATTTGGGGTGTTGCTGTGGCCTCAAGAAAGGGTAGTCTCTTGACTTTTCAGAATTAAGGAGGGTTTTATAGATACAGCTTAGAGAGGGTTTGCCTTGTCATCCTATTTTTCAGTACAGGTATAGGACATAGTGTGCCAACAGACTCTCTGGAATCAAATAGGATTATGTTCTGAGGCTAGTTGTATGATTTTACCTCTTCTAGTCTCTGTTCTGGAAAATGAAGAAGACAGAAGAAAGGTCTCCCTCCTTTCACAGGACCTAGCTCATAGGACTGCCAGGAGATCAAATGAGGTGATGCAAATGTGTTGGTCTGAAGATAATCCATAGCCTATATACTCACACATGTTCTCAAATCTGCTCAGTCCTAGTAACATTTTTCTTAACAGGATAAAGAAAGGGTTCCTCCTACATGTCTTACAGCACATATAGACTATCAGTGTTCCTCATGACCAGGAGTCTAACGCTTCTCTCTCAGCTTCCACAGCACATTTTCATCAGAACAGCAGCATTACTGAGGCTTTCCCTGTGCACGGCAACACAAGATACCCTCCCCCATTCCCATCACACCTTACCTTCCCCTCTTTGATTCTTTCCATAGCATCTGTCATTATCTGAAACTATCTTGCTATCTTGACTACTGATGCACATTCTCACATATTTTCAGTTCCTCTCATTAGAAAGTTTCATGAGGACATTGCTGTCCTGTTTTTCATGGAATCCCTCTTGTCTAGAGCATCATGTGGTGTTCATAAGAAACTCAAGGAAAAAGCTAGTAAACAATATGGCACTGAACTACCTTCATTCCCGTATGGCTGTCTTTATCCAGTGAAGATTTACCGAGCACCTATAAAGGCTGTCCCCAAGGCCTAAGCAGTAGTTCCTTCTCACCAATTAGTAAGATCTCAAAGAATAAGCCACAAATGTGAAATTCACCAGACTTTACATCAAACTAAATGCAGTACAGTCACAGACTTTCAAACATCTCTGCTCCTTTCTGTCCCAGCTCCCTTACTCATGTTGCTAGTCTTAGCTTGAATGTAATTTCCTCAGACATAGTTTTCTAACTCTGTTCTTTTTCATCATGTGTTCATCACACTTCAACCACACATTTTCTGGTGTGTTCATTTGTCTAACGACTATGTATCTCACTAGAGACTAAAAGTCCCACAAAGGCAGAAATACCATTTTTTTCCAAATATACATCCATTGCAATATCAGCACATAGTAGTTACTAAATAAGTAATTCTTAAGCCAATCCAAAGAATTTCATTTTATCACTCACCCATAATTCTTGGGCAAGCACCATACACTTCAAACTACCTTTAGCTGGCTGAACTCCTAATGGTTTATGTAGCAGAAACAGCAATAATTGTTGAGGCCAGATCATACTAGTTTGAGCATTTTGTATAGTACAGTTTTGGGCAAGTCAGTTAACTTATCTGGATTTGTTTTCTTACATATAAAGTCAAGAGACTAGACTGAACAACCATAAAGCCTCCTTCCAGGTTTGTAAATAACTCACTGATGACTGAAGAACAGACCAGGTTTCTTAGGAGAGGGATATCTTTTGGTGTAGGCTGTGTGGATGATCTGGTTGTAAATCCTTTTCACTTCTCACAAAGCATAAGCTCTGAATACTTAACAAGGGGTACAAACCATGGGTCCAGGTTCCACCTTGTCTGTAGGGCTCCTTTGACATTCTATTGCCCTAGTAAAATTGTGCCAAACTAAATTCCACTTGGGATACCAAGTAGAAGACCAGAGAATACCTCTAAACCTTCAAAAGAGTCAAACCATGATTCATAAAATATCAAGTCCAAATTTACCTTGATTCGAGGCATAGTAACTGTGGGTGGCTTTGCTTCAGCCACAAAACTGTGAGATGCTCCTTTTTCCACGAGGTATGTTGTATAGGGCATATATTCCACACCCTTGGACCCAAAAACAAAATCATCTCTTAAGGCATCTATCAGGACAATAACAACTTTACTGAAGAGAGGTGGTGGTAGCTTGGTCCAGTTGGAACTGGCTCCTAAAAGTGTTTTTAAAAAGCAGAAATGAAATTAAACTTTAAATTTGACTTTCAAACACCTTCAAAATCTAGCTTCTTCATGTTTTTCCAGTACACATCTTGGCATATCTAGTATCCCAACCCCAAAGACGGCCTGTTCTTGGAAGCCAGTACTGAGGGGGATGTTAACAATAAGTTTAGTGAGCCACAGTAACATGTAATGAATTTCCCTTAGTATGGTGAAGGGTACTAGGATAGGTGAGTCTTTATATGAGGGGCCTGGAATAGAACATTTAGGGAGCTTGACCTAAAACAGCCTGGAAGGTTTACATGGCCAGTGGATGGACCTGGTCCAGAACTGGCCAGCCTGGTGTGTAATCCTGGGTAGGTAAGGGCTAGGAAGGAGCCTAATGCAGAAAGGCCTTAACCACAGGGGCAGGAGGCGGGGAAGTATTGGAGGAAAGTAACAGAAAAATCCAGAGTTCTGCAAGAATTTTATCTGTTGTGTGCTAGGCAAATAAGGGCTCCGAAACTGGGAGTGACTCAAAGGAGGGAAAAGGTTGAACAGAGTGGAGAGACATAGCCCAGGTATGGTGAGCTTAATTTGTGGTGACGAGAGGGAAAAGTCAAGATACACCGTTCTTAGTTGCAGGATACAGAAAACTACACTGGAGCAGTTAAAAAAAAAGGTTTCTAGGGGTGGGGCTCAGAATGAAAGGAGACCACCGGAAAGCTCTGGGGCTCAGACCGAGGGTCCTCTGCGGGAGGCGGGACCTAAGGAGCGGAGACCCTGGGGGTTGGGGGGGCGAGGGGGGAGTCCGTACCGGCCACGGGCTCGGGCGCCGGGGGCTCTGCTCTGTGCTCGGTCCTGGAAGAGGAACGAACAGGGGCCGGGAAGAATCCCCGAAGGAAGATCGCGACCCCGATCACTTCAATTGCTACGCAACTGGCGGCGAAGGCCCCGGAGCCCAACCGCATCGTGTGCACCCGCTGGGCAGGGAGGCCGAGCCACAACCACACCCGAAGCCTTGCGGAGTAACAGCCGCTCCACGATAGGGGAACAGCCTTTGAACACCACAAGCTTCACTGACAGCGCCCGCGCCCAGCATGCGTCACGTCCGCTGGCGCGCCGGAAGTGCATACGGGCAGGCGCTCGGTAGACTCCTTCCGGGGGAGCACTCGCTTCCGGCGCCGTCCACTCTGAAGTACCGGTTCCTGAATCGCTTACGCGAGTCCCTGCCCCCAGCATCGCCCAGTCGGAAGTCGCCACTTTTAGCACTTCTAGTTCCCTGATGCGTTACTCTGTAGTTGCTTGTTCTTGGCGAAGACTGACCTGACTGCATTCTGCCACGCCTCAAGCTGGCTTTTGAGTTTGTTGCTCACCTCCGCCTATTGTTACCGCCTGGAAATCCACAGCCTCTGCGTCCTGTGTCTCTGGAACTAGCTGTGCAGGCTACGCGTCTCTGACCTGGTCTAGGAGCCGGCTGCACCCCACTGCTCAGTGACCTCCCCTTCTTTGGAAAATTGCCCTTGGCTGATGGGAATTGCTAAACCCCGGAGGGCACACCTGCCAGTGGCTGGTGGCGCCTGAGTGTAAAAGCCTAGCTCCTTTTCCTCAAAGGGGGTTGAGTCTGGGGCAGTAGTGCTCCAGACCCTTGGAATCGGGCGGAGGCTCGGCTCCAGCCGGGCCCACAGACCTGCTACGGTGTCTTCTCTTGCTTTGCTAGAATGTTCTCCTTGAGAGCCTCTTTTGTTTTAGTTTACCCACATAAGTGAGATTGTTGCGGGAGTTTGCTAGCTGAGATACGGGACTCTTGAGGCAATTAGCAAGAAGCAACGTTTTATTGTGCTAGCACAGACTCAGCGGACTCGTGTCCAAAGGCTGAGCCCCTAGAACAAAGGGGTCTCACCTTATAGACCCTTGCAATCAGGTTACAGGAGCAAAAAGCAAGGTCTAATCCACATATGGTTATATTTAATTTTATTGGCTACTTTACCCTAGTGCTACCTGACTGTTTCCTCCCTGGTGCTACGTGACCGTCTTCATGTTCAGATTTCTCAGGTTTTATCTCTGCTATGCCATTCCCTACCTCCCTGCTACTTTCTCAGGACTCAGGCCTAGTCTGTTTTCTTTTGATCCTCCTCTCTGCTACAAGATCATTTTGTTTTTGTCTTTGTGTGTCTGGTTTATTTCATTTAGCATAACACCCTTTGGTCCCATCTATGTTGTAAATGGCAAATTTTCCTTCCTTTTTTAGACTGAGTAAAAATTCCTTGTGTATAATTGTGTAACATTTTCTTTATCTGTGCATCCATTGATAGACACTTAGCATGTGTCCTGTGCTTGCCCATTGTGACTAATGCTGCAGTGTAATGATATATATCCAAGATTGTCACTAGAAAAGCTGTTTCTGGCCTCAATGCCAATTTGTCATTTACGAATAACAAGAGTAGGGTTTTGAGGAAAAGAAAATGAGGACAAGGAGAGTCAACCTCTCAAAGCACTATCGTTGTACTTCTGAGAGAAAATGTCTGCCTTTTAAAGGGCGGTTCAGGGGCTCAGCTTATGTGATGAGATGTATGTTCACCATGGCTTCTGGCCTTGATTCTCCAGTTGTCTGGTGCCACTTTGAAGCTGTATGTCTTGGCTGGCAGGTAATAGATAATTGCTTGGTCTAATTGTAGAACAAATGGAGTTAACATTGGATTTTCCAGCGAGTAGACAAAGAGGAAAAATTGTCAGTTTAATCAATAAGCAGATTAAACTGACCAGCATGCAAGCTATCTATACTAAAAGTTTTTCCCTTTTGTAGTCCCAGTTCTAAGACATTGATTTTAATCCTTTTGAATACATAACAAGAAGTGGGATTGCTGGATAATATGGTAGTTCTATTTTTATGTCTTTATTTTGTATGTATTAATTTTCCTAGGCAGGATAGATGAGGAGACGGGGAAATTATATTTTGATAAATATTAGGAAGTCCAGATTCAGACATTGGAACAAGCAAATGAAAACTAAAAAGCCAGAGCCAGTCAGCCCCCTTCCAGTTCCTTATAGATTCTGTTGCAGGCCAGTGTCGAGAGTTCTTGCCTTCACAGGCCAAAGAACTGGCTCATGAGGGAGCAAATTGACTCATGGTATGACTAAAGGCTCAGCAACACAACAGTTAGGATATATTAGAAGAAAACGCCTGGGTCCGTTTTAGAGATGGGACAGGGAGCCAGAAGATTTGGGTATGCTCTTTCTGTCCATTTTACAAAGGGTTTTCTTTTTATTTGGCCCTTTTTTGTATGAGTTAGTTGGGGAGGGGGAAGTCAGGAGTCAGGGGTGGGAGCTGGTCTATTTAACATACTCTCTGCAGAAAACCATATACAACAGTCCCCTTGTTGAAAGCCTCCTGTTTATCGGCCTTGTGGCATTTTGAGGCATCCCTAGGAGGGCATGACTTGTGAAGCCACATGTCCCTTTACAGGATATAAGGCTCACCGTGCTCTCATGGGGGATGGGGGCAGTGGCTCATTTTGTCTTCTGATTCCCCAGGCCCAACAAGTTCCCCCTCTGAGAGGGGCGGTGTCTCATGTGGCTAATTACTGCTGACAGTGGGGCAGAAGAAGGAGGGGAGGTGCAGGGGCCCTTGTCTCAGGGGTTGACTTGTGTGGTCTCTAAGGGACTCCAATAGAACTGGATGGAGGGTTCGTGCATAGGCAGAGTTGTGTATTCCTTGAGTAAGAGCTGGAATTTGATTCATTGGACCTATTGAGATACGACTCTGGAGAAGAGCATTTGTTATACAAGGCCCAAATAGGAGTGCCAGAAGAAGCATAAAGAGGGGACCAGCTAGAGGTAATACCCGGGGAGCCCAGCTCCACATGTTGTCCCAGAAGGACAACATGAATTGGCTAATTTTTGTCTCCTTTTTGTAATGCGTTCTCTTAATTTTTGGGGGGTTTTCCCCCCCCCCAAGTTTACATGTCTCTGCCAGACCCCAAGATTTGTTGTAAAATAAGAGCAACCACTCTTCATGTAGGAAGGAGGCATGGTCCAGCCTTTCCAGCAGGTTTATAGGTCAAGTTGCACAACCTATTTTTTGGAGCACTACTTTTTTTTATTGTTTTTTATTCATATGTGCATACAAGGGCTTGGGTCATTTCTCCCCCCTGCCCCCACCCCCTCCCTTACCACCCACTTATTAGTGTCCGGCCCGCACCAGCCCTCCATACCCCGGCAGAAATCTATTGTTGCCTTAGTCTCTAATTATTGTTGAAGAGAGAGTATAACAGCCAATAATAGGAAGGAACAAGTGGTTTTTTGCTGGTTGAGATAAGGATAGCTTATACAGGGAGTTGGACATCACTTAATTTCCCTCTGTGTGTGTGTTACCGTTATAGGTTAATATCTTTTTTTATCTTACACCTTTTCTCTAGTTCCTGGTCCGCCTTTTCCTATTGGCCCTCAGTTGCTTTTAATAGGTATTGCTTTTAAGTTTCTCTTGCTTTTAAGGGCACGAATGATAGCTAATTTTTTCTTTAGGTGTCTTACCTATCCCTCAACCCCTCCTTGGTAAATGCTCTCGCTTTTTCATGTGGCCTTCAAAGTCCCAATCCCCTTGGTTGGTGTTGTGCCTTGATCGTAATGTCCGCATATGAGGGAGACCCATATGATGTTTTGGTCCTTTTGGGCCAGGTTAACCTCACTCAGATGATGTTCTTGCCAATTCCAATCCAATTTACCAGCGAATGATAACATTTCGTTCTTACTTCCAATGGCTGCATAAAATTCCATTTGTATACAGATACCGACATTTTCTTAAATACATTCGGTCAGTGACTGGGGCAATCTTGGCTGTTTGCCATAACTTGGTTAATTGTGAATAAGTGGCCAGCAAATAAAAACATGGGGTTGTTGCGGTGCCTCTGGAGCAACCTTGTGTCCACAGTCTTTTGGGGTTATATCCCCAAGAGTGGTATTGCTAGATCCAAATGGTAGATCAATGTATTAGCTTTTTTAAGTAGCTTGGAGGCCTAACGCTGTAATGCAAAGTAAATGCTACTTGGTCTTGTAAAAACCATCTAAGCGACTGTGTAACCTGTTCTACGTCATCAAAAAATTCTTGATATTTTTTGATAAGTATGGACTGATGAGGCAATGCTCCCAATGCCAGCACCTATTCCAGCAGTTATCCCCATGGCTACTATAGGGGAATGATTTGAATGGCCCTCTTTGATTGAGTTTTAAGCAGCTTAGAGGAAATAGGCAAGACTGGTTTGTTAGGATAATATTTTGATTTGGGGGGGGTTAGAAGGGCTAGAGTGCCAGATTTCCCTCCAATTGGGAGGCAGGCAAGCATAGGCTGCAGTTCCACAAACAAAATAAATTCCAGGAAAGAGTGAACACTGAGGACGAAATGTTAGGTCAATTGACAGCATTTTCTTTTCTTTTTCTTTTATTCATATGTGCATACAATGTTTGAGTCATTTCTCCCCCCTTCCCCTGGCAACCCCCTTCCTTCCCCCCGCCCCCTCTCTCCCCCACCCCCTCATACCAGGCAGAGAAACTATTTTGCCCTTATCTCTAACTTTTGTTGAAGAGAGAGTATAAGCAATAATAGGAAGGACAAGGGTTTTTGCTGGTTGAGATAAGGATAGCTTATACAGGGAGTTGACTTGCATTGATTTCCTGTACATGTGTGTTACCTTCTAAATTCTTCTAATCTAACCTTTTCTCTAGTTCCTGGTTCCTTTCTCCTATTGGCCGTTGTCACTTTTAAGTATCTGCTTTAGTTCTCTGCATTGAGGGCAACAAATGCTATCTAGTTTTTTAGGTGTCTTTTACCTATTCCTCACCCCTCCTTGTGTGCTCTTGCTTTTATCATGTGATCAAAGTCCAATCCTTGTTGTGTTTGCCCTTTGATCTAATGTCCACATATGAGGGAAGAACATACGATTTTTGGTCTTTTGGGCCAGGCTAACCTCAGAATGATGTTCTCCAGTTTCCATCCATTTACCTGCGAAATGATAACATTTCGTTTCTTCTTCTGACTGCTA